TTTTTTTTTTTTTTTTTTTTTTTTGTATAATTAGGAAAAGAAATTAAATAGATGGATAAAATAGATAAAATGAGAATATTAATTAGAGGAAGAGATTGAACTTTATTTAGTATATATTTTTATTATTTATAATTTTAAAAAACTGGTTAAATGAAATTATGGAAATATGAGTGAGATAACCGGCAAAGCCGGTAAACAGGAAAAGTCGTGAAGGTTTACGACCGTTATGCGAAAATGGGGCCCACTGGCCACTAGCATGCTTCCTGGTCACTGTTTCCTTCTGCACATGCCACCCATGCCGTATTTGACAGTCTATTATTTGCCTTTTTTTTTTTTTTTTTTTAAATTTTTAAATGGATTGACTATTTAAAAATTAGTAGTTTTTTAAATTTAATATTTGATTATTTTTCTTTCACCTAAATTGGTAATCAATTAATTTGTCACGCATTTCAACGAAATGACACGATGAATAATTCAAACATTTATTGATGCTTGTATGTTACAAATAACCATCCAATTTATGGCATACTTTTCTCAAATTTAAATACACATATTTAGTATTTAAATTTATTAAATTCATATGATAAACCCAATTTTATAAAACCTATCATATTATATACTAATTTAATCACATACGTTTGAATCAAACAAATGGTATGACGTATTAAACTATTAAACTAAAAATCATACGTCCCCAATTCTACCATTTTTTCAAACGTTTCCGACGCGTTTTTCTTCTTCTTCCTTCTATTCTCGTTTAGTTAATACTCAGTTCTTTGAGTGGTTGAATCTCGTGCTCTCTCTCTCTATCGTACTCGAACGTGAATTCAAAATAGATACTTTATTCAGAAACTTAACAATGAATCTAAACAAACATGTAGAAAAAATGAGAAGAAACTAATGTGAAATGGGGTTTGGTTTTATGGAGAGGCAAATTGCGTAGAAAATGAGAGTTGCATGAACGTAAAAAAAATAGGAAGTTAGCTATCGAACCAGAGAATCGATTAAATTCTATACGTGCTTTTATCAATTTTTGAATTTAATGGGCCTCTTCTAAGAGCCCAATTTCGAGTTGATTAGGTAAAAGAATCTTCTAACTTTAATATGAACATATGTTGTAAGAGGCTCTCGTAAACCTAACAAGATGGAGAATCCCAAAAAATGGGAGAAGAAGAGGAGACTAGGATTATATCTGTCATGTCTCACATTAGTTTGGGTCCAGAACAAAACACCATGGATGTGAAAATCTTGACCTAACAAGATGAGAATCCCAAAAAATGGGAGAAGAAGAGGAGACTGGGATTATATCTGTCATGTCTAACATTAGTTTGGGTCAAGAACAAAACACCATTTATAAGTATCAAAACACCATTTAGATGTGAAAATCTTTCCCTACTTATTTAGAAAAATTCCGTTGATAAAATATAAAATCAGAAAAAAAAAACAAATTCGCAATAATTATTTATCCCAAAATATCGTATCGCGTTTGTTTGACGATAAAATGGGCGAGATCCGAGTCATTGACTTTGTTCGTAAATTGTATTAAAAGCGGAGGGCAAATGAGCGAAAGAAGCGCCAAACTTTGCATTTCCCCGGAAAGACAGAATTAGATCGTTTTCTGCCTTTATTTAAGTTCTATTTTATGTTTTCTTTTCTTTTCTTTTTTTCCTATTTTTTATTTTAAAAAAAAATCTTCTTTTTTATTTTTCCTTTTACAGATCCAGTAGGTCACAGGCTCGAATCAAATCCCAGGTAATTCAATTTCTATTTCTTCTTTATGAAATCTGCATTTTTTTTAGTTCTTCAATGGCTCGATAAACAAATTTGAAGGTTGAATTGAAATTCGACTAGAATGAATCTAAGGTCAAGAAATCGCAGTGGAATTTCTTTATTTATTTTCTCGAGAATCGTTCAATGTTCTTAGCAACGATCGTAACCCAGTTTTCCATTTTTTTAGTTTCAAATTCATTTATTTATGTAAAATTAATAATGGGATTTATTGAAAGATATTATTGGTTAGATGGGAAAAATGTTCATCTATGTTTTTAATTCTCAGTATTTATTGATGAATAATTTTTCCTTTCTCCCATCGTTTTCACTTATTTTTAATATATATATTATTTTATGAACATTGAACCAGGAAAACTTTTCATTAGTAGATATATTTTAAAATTTTGAGAGAAAGCCTGAAGAGCTAAAAAAATAATATCGGCTAGCAGTGGACTTGAAAAGTTACAGATTTGATATGTATGGAGTTTAGAGTATTGAATCAACCGGTCGAGAATATATGACATGTTTTTTTTTTATATTTTTTAAAAATATATTTTTTTGTGGTGATGAGGATGGACAGATAGTACCTATTACGAAGTTTAAATTACATTAAAAAAAATTTAATGCATCAAATAAGTCCTATTATGATATTTATTTGAGTAGGTTGAATTTTTTTTTTTAGGCAAAACCAAAAAATTAATACAACTAATTTAACTTAATATTATTTTTAAATCAATATTTTGTAATTGTGATGGAAAATTAGGGTTTAGTTTTTGAAGAGATGGTGAAACATCGGGTGCGAAAAGGATTAACAGAGTGTAGCGGGATTGATCAAAAAACGGATGAAATTGCGGAGCAGCAGAAGATGACTAAAGCAGGTGTGTTTTTTTTTTAATGATATCTCAATGTTTCATTTTTTAAATGTCTCTTGTTTGTTACGATATATCGTTCTATTTTCAGAAATGGAACAAAAGATGTCGAGAATCTTGAAGCTAATGAAGAACAAAGATAAAAGTAGAGTGCTGAGAGAGTCGAAGAAGGAAACGGAAGTTGTTGGTTTAGTTGAAGATCTATACAAGAATTACCAGTCTATTTATGATCAATATGGTCATCTACGAGATGAAGCCGAAAGAATTGTTAAATCTGAAAAAGAAAACGAAGAGGATAAGGAAGATGTTTGTTCTTCATCTTTAAGCTCTAGTTCCGACTCTGATTCGGAGTACTTTTCGTCGGAGGAAGTAAATACCATTAGCAGTGTTCATAATTTACCGAATGAACAGTCGAGTAACTGGTATGTTCAAATTCAAACGGAGGAACTAGAAAAGCAAATTGTTCAAAAGAATGAAGCCTTGGCTAAGGTTGATTTCCTGCATCGGGAATTAGATAGCGTACGAACCCAGAAACGCGAAATGGAAAATAGGAAGAACAAGGAGATATCTGAGAATATGGCTTTGATAGGAAATTTGAAAGAAGAATTGGTCGAAAAGATTGGAGTTGAAAAGAAGATGCTGGAAGAAAAAGACAGAGTTCTTGCTCGGAGTAAGGATCTGGAAATGGAGATAGACACTCTGCATTACCGAAGAAGGGAAATAGAAGAACAGAATATTCGGATGAGATCAGAAAATCAATGGCTCAACACTAAAATTTCTGAACTGGAAATGGCATTGACGAGTAAAGAGACGGAAGCTTCTTCTCAGACGATCGCGTTAATGGAGCAAGTCAAGAATCTGAAACATACAATAAACGGATTGCAGACCGAAAAAACCAAATTAGGGCAAGAAATGGAGCAATATAAACAAGAAGTTTCTCACCGATTTTCGAAAATAGAGGAGGAAAACAAGAAATTGAAAAGTAAAATTGTTGATCAGGAAACAATCCTAAAGGAAAAGGAGGAAGCAATAATTAAATTCAACGAGAAATACAAGAAAGCGAAGAGTTGTTTACCTGACGTTGCTTCAAGCCTAATAAATACAGAGAGGAAGATGGAAGAATTAGCCGAGGACCTCCGTTGTGGCTTGGAAGATAAAATCCGTTTATTGTCGCAGAGGATCCTCGTCGCAGAGCAGCTACACAACGAAAGCAGAGAAAATTTCAGAGTGAAAAACAAAAGACACGAGCAAGAGAAGAGACAGTTCGAACAAAAAATTGAAAAACACGAAGAGGAACTAATGAAACTCAGTAATGTGAACGAATTCGGAATGGACAGAGTAGCAAGAAGATTCGAAGAAGAGAGCGTCAAACTTCTAAATCACATATTATGGATCACAAAGGAGCTCACATTCGCAAAATACTGGGTTAGAACGAGAAATAACGAGTTAAAACAACTGAAAATCAATTTGACTCGATTCGTTGCTCAGATGGAAGAAAAAGAAGAACAAGAGTTCTTGTTAAGAGAGAAACTATGGAATCTAGAGGCGAAAATAAGCAAAGAGGGTGGAGAGAAACTGAACCTAATCAGAACCCTGGGGCAATTCGAGAAAAAGATGACAAAAATGGAGAACTTAGTAAAGGAGAAAGATGAACAAGTGTTCCGACTTGCAGAAGAAAAGAGAGAAGTGATTCGACAATTATGCGTTGTGATTGATCACTATCGAAGCCAGTCCGATCATCTCAAGGACACCATGCTCGGGACGACGGTTAGAAACAGAAGAATGATTTGATGCTTCTTTTTATCTATTATATCCATAGGTAATTTCATTTCTTTTTGTTCGTTTTCTCGAAAAATTTTGGAAAATGTAAAACAAAACCAACTACATACACACACATATATGTTCTTTTATATATGAAAATTTTCAATTTTGAATTTTACCTTGATTCTTCTGATTGTGCAACCCTTACTATTACCCTCGAGTCAGTCGAGCAACTAAGACTTGGGTTGTCGTTGGCTCGGGGATATAGCTTGAGCCACCGATCCTGCTCTTGAAAAGCAAGTTTGGAAAACAATGTTGTAGAAATTAACGAGAATTAAATGGTAATAACGACATTCATAGCCGTGGTAGACATGATTTTGACGTAAGTCATTTTCTCGGTTTCCGTCATTCAAGGGCGACAAAAATAAAAGAAAAGGAAAAAAAATAGCGGGAACGACCTTACGAAAAGAAAAGGGTGGGATTAAAATATCAGTGGCATTTATGTAATTATATGACGATATAAAGGGTAAAAATATGGGATAATGTCCAAGATTCTATCCCCTCAAATGCTATATTCAGTTGCTTTGTGGATTTTGAGCGCTCTAATCTTAAAACTTGAACCATTTTCTCTTCCATTATTCTATTTTCTTTTCATTTTTAATTCCCATTTTCTGTTAATCTCTTCGATTTCTCTCACTCTCCACCTGTCTTCCTGCTTTTCCTTTCTCTTACCTACCCGTCTTCCTCTGATTTCCAGGTGATTTTCTTCTTTTTTCTTACTTCTTCTTTCAATTTCATTGTTTCGTTTCTACTGCAGTTCATCTTCTGATTTCGTTGAAATTTTGCCTTATAACTTGATGTTGGAGTTCAATTCGTTGTGTAATTTTCTGGTGTTCGTTCTCTTTACATCGATTGTCTCATTTCTTGTTTCTGGAATTTTCGGATTGATCGGATCCTTGTGTTTGGATCGAGGTTGATGATTGCTTGAGTTCGAAATGGTTTTGGATGATTTCTTTTCTCTCTCGATGTTTGTTTGGTTTGATTGGATCTTCGTTGAGTTTAAATTGATAGTTTCGGATAGCCGATGGACGTTTTTTTTTTTTGAAATTGAGTTGAAGCGATTACTGCTCCTATTTTAAAGCGAATCTGATGGTTTTAGAATTTCTGTATGAATCTATTTCGCTGTATACTCGATCACTTCAAAACTTTTCCTGCTGAAACAGAAAAAGTTCTCACAACTATTTTGGTTCCGCTAATTTGTTAGAGTTTATTGGAATTTTATGCTTATTTTCCTCTGTAACCGATTCTTGTTTCTCGATGTCTACGTGCCGGATCCAGGAATATCACTCTTGGTTGATCCGCCATGAGGAAGACGGAGGAAAGAGTAAAGTGAATTTTCAGGTAACAAATTTTGTCTCTATATAAATTAATATTCCGGCATTTAATTTTCTCATACTTTATCGTTCAAATGGAAAAACCTATAAAAAAAAATTTCGTTTTTTAAAAAAATCTGTTAATTGGCATAGGTTTCAAATTTGTGATAATGATGTAGTCGTTTTGCATGGCACAACCAACAAAAAGGAACAGCTTATCTTTTCTGATGTAATAGCTGTCTTTTCTGATGAGGGTATCTTCGTAATTGCTGAGTTGGGCGCTTTTTAGAAGTTATCGTATGCAGCGTATGCTATTGTGCGCCGTTGCTTACATTATGTATTAGAATGCAATAGTTTCCTAATTATCATATAAATCATGTCACGCTGTCTTTATTACGAAAGTCATAATTTTTAATTGAAATATGCACTATGCTATTATTTACGTATTTTTCGTCAGGGTTTTAATCGATTCAGATTGTGATAAAAGCTGCTTTTGTAAGTAGGCCCCGGCCATGTGCGATCTGGTAGAGTCTATTTATTCATGAATTAGCTGCAAATAATGTAAGCTAGCTTGCCCTATTACCTAAACTTTCAATTTTAATTTTTTTTTAATACTATTAAATGAATTTCTAAATTTTCAATTTTATATTTAATAAATTTATGTTCTTTTTCTATTCAACTTTTTATAAAATTTATAAATAAAAATGGAAAGTTTAAAGATAATCCATATTTTTTATCCTATTTGAAACAAATTTAAAATTTATTATATACTTTCTAAAGTTTACTGTTCTATTAGATAAAAAGATAAAAAATCAACGCTAAATTTGTAATTTAATGAAAAAAAAATTATTTATTTATTACTATGTCATGGTTATGCTTATATTTTCCAAAGTGGCATATGTGTACATCTTTTTTATCCCTTAAATGTTCTTTAATGGTATAAAAATGTACGAGTAACTTGAATTTTATTTTTCAGGCGTGGACTCTTAAACGTCCATGTTCTACTGTGCGCTTGCTAGGGGAAGTTGATATTCCCAGGAGATGACAAAGCACCGGTTCAGGAATTCTTTGAAGTCTCTATTTGGGAGTTACCTTGATCCAGAAACAAATGAACGGCTCAAAGGAAATAAATCAGGTAATTAAGGGATATTTTCCTTTTGATTTCTGTAGTTTTTGGTGCTTTTCTCCCATTATCTTACATTTTACATTTTTGATGCAGTTATCGAGGACAAGGTGAATAAAATTAGACAACTCATAAAAGGTGAAGATCTAGGAGTAGAAGACCACGACCAATCTGAAATTCGCAAGAAACAGTCCATTGATGAATTAATTGATGATTTCCTTAACGTTTACCAAGCCCTCTATGAACAATACGACAGCCTAACCGGAGAGTTGAGAAGAAAATTTCAAAAAAGAAGAGAAAAGGAAAGCTCTTCATCTAGTTCATCCGACTCGGATTCAGATGATTCTTCAAAGAAAAAGGTCAGCAAAGATGATCGAGGGTTGGAGAGAGAATTCCAAGAAGTTGGTGAAATCAAGCAGGAACTTGACGCAGCACTTTCAGAAGTAGCCGATTTGAAAAGGATATTGGCAACTACAAGTAAAGAACATGAATCCCTAAATTCAGAACATCTGACAGCTTTAAGTAAGCTACAAGAAGCAGATGAAATTATTAGAGATTTTAAGGTTGAAGCTGAAACTTGGGACTCTCAGAAGTCTAAATTTCAGCTTGAAATCGAAGAACTGAATCTGGCGTTAAGTAATGCTGGTAGGAATGAATCTGAATTGAATGAGAGATTAAAAGGTATGGCAACAGAGATGAATAACTACATTGAAGAAAAGGAGACTGCAAGGAGGAAGATTGAAGAAGGGGAAAAAACTATAGATGAATCGAAGGCTTTGGCTGATCAGTTGAAGGAGAAGTTGTCAGCCACAATGGAAGAAAAGGAAGCTCTGAACTCACAGCACTTGAAAACTTTAAGTAGGGTACATGAAGCATATATGATCACAAGAGATTTGAAGGTTGAATCAGAAACCTGGGGTGGTGAAAAATCTAAATTTCTTCTCGAGATTGAAGAGCTGAATCAGAAACTGGGTGCTGCCGGAAAATTGGAAGCGCAATTGAATGAGAGGTTGAAGGATATTGGAATTGAAAACGAATATTTGATCAGGGAAAAGGAATCTGCGCAGAGGACGATTGAAGAGATGAGTCAGAGGCTGAGCAATGCTGTTAAGATAGAAGCAGAACTCAGTGGAAGATTGAAAGATATTGAAACTGAGAAAGATGGGTTGATCAAGGAAAAGGAGATTGCATGGAAGGAGATTGAACAAGGTACACGAGTTAGAGAAGAATTAAACGCCATGGTTGATCAACTGAACAGTCAATTGACAATTACAGTAGAAGAAAAGAAATCTCTCAGTTTACAACTTGAAAAGGAGAAAGTTGAGTTGTTGAGATCAATTGCTGATCATCAAAGAAATTTGAAGGAACACGAGGATGCATACAAGAAGCTAAATGATGAGTTTCAAGAATGTAAGCTAAAGCTTGATAATGCAGAAATGAAGACGGCAGAAATGAGTCGAGAGTTTCATAATGACATTAGATCAAAGGAGCAAGTGAAAGAGGACCTGGAGGTAATGGTTGAGGATCTTAAAAGAGAGCTGGAAGTAAAAAGTGATGAGATAAATAGCCTAGTTGAAAACGCTCGCACGATCGAAGTCAAGCTTCGGTTATCAAACCAGAAGCTTCGTGTTACAGAACAACTATTAACTGAAAAGGAAGAGATTTTTCGGAAAGCTGAATTGAAGTATCAAAAGGAACGGAAATTGCTTGAGGAAAGAATTCATGGACTATCTGCAACAGTTGTTGCTAACAAAGTAACGTATCAAAAGACGATATCAACTGTTTCAGAAAACATTAACAGTAACCTCTCCCAACTGGAATGTGTCATCAGGAAATTCATATTGGAGCATGCAAAGTATGAGAAGTGTGTTATGGATACATCCCGCGATCTACGGCTTACAAAGAGTTGGGTTTCAAATGCTATTGAAGAAACAGAAGGCCTAAAAAAAGAGGTGGCAGACCTTGGGAAACAACTTGAAGATAAGAAAGAGAGGGAATCCATATTAGTAAAACAGGTTGAGAAGTTGGAGATTAAGGCCAACAAGGAAGGATCTGAGAAGGATGGGTTGGTTGAAGCAATCCACGAACTTGAAAAGAGACAGAGAGAATTGGAGAAGATGATGGAAGAGAAGAATGAAGGTATGGTGGGTCTGAAAGAGGAGAAGAAAGAAGCGATAAGACAACTTTGCATGTTGATCGAGTATCATCGGGACCGCTATGATTTTCTCAAGGATGAGGTCTTGAAGTTGAATGTTAAAGGAGGCCAGAGTGTAAGATAGTAAGTAAGTCAATCACCACTCCCTTTACTACTCATTTCTTTTTATTCTTTGTTTGATTGATGAATCTATTAGGAATTATGAACCTCATAATCATATGACGTTGCCTAATTTGAGCATAAGTTTTCATGATTTTGCTTTTGGTTTTTCCAAAAGGCCTCATACCAACGGGGATGTATTCCTTGTTTATAAACCCATGATCAATCCTTTAATTAGTTGATGTTGGACTCCTCTCCCAACAATCCTCAACAAAGTCTTGGACGTAGTTAATTAGTGAATCTCTTGTCCACCTTTTTTTCTTTTGTTATTTTAATGCATATTGCTTTCTTTTGTTGCATGCAACTAATTGATTGATTGACTTTGTCTGGTTCCTTTGTTAATATGTTTCTGAATCTTTTCTAGGCAGTCATTAGCCACTCAGGGATAATTGTAGAAAGTTGTTTCTTAGCTGATCCATCAATTAAGATATGACTTTCCTTCGACTTTTAGAATCTTATTCTTTAATCTTTAGGCTGTAGTGATTACAGGATTGCTTGTTTTTGTTTGTTGTTTTTTATTTGATTATAGATATTTTAATGTCTTTTATTTTCCTTTGTAGGTATTTTCTAAAAAAGAATGGAGGTCATTCGAGTAATAAATCAAAATTGTAGAAAAACGACAACGGTAAGGGTATTTTAGGATCCTTTTCTCTAAAGAGCAAATTCCCTATATTCAAAAGAGAATTTGACGTTGTTGTGTAGCTAGGTAGATGTAAAATTGCAAAATAGATCCCTAATTTTGATTAGGGTATATGAGATCTTCGTGTAGAAATATAAAAAATTTAAATGTACTAGAAGAAGACGTTAATTTAATTACTTGAGATCTAGGCCTAGCCGTGTCGACAAAGCTTTATAGAGTTTGAGAAAGACTTTGAGAAATTATTTCTTTTTTCTTTTGTACATTTATATTTGTATTATAGGTTTAGGGAACGATAAATTTTATTTTTTCATGTCAATGAATGACATTTAGATATTTTTATATTAATGTTTTTCATTGTTAGAATTCTAGTTATAATGTTATTTTTGTTGATATTTATTTTACACTATGGTATAAAAGAGAGAAGAATTTAGATAGAAGTGTCAGTAATAATGTTATAATTTTGGAAAGAATACGAATACTTTTTCACACTTTAATCTATTTAAATCATTTATATATATATATATATACAAAGAAATCCAAGGTAGAGTTAGATGCAAGAAACAAACTACTCGGTTGACTTTATAATTTTCGTCTTTTTTTAATAATTTATTTATTCAGTCTTTTAAGTTATTATTATTTTATTACTTCTTATTTTTCTCATATTAACCCCCAGTGCTACGGTTCAAGTACATTATTTACCACGTCCTCTAGAAAGTTGACTATTTTGAACCAACAATAGCAAAAGAAAAAAAAAATATATATATATATATATATTTAATAATATTATCCGACAAAAATTTTCGTATGCTAAGAGATTCAACTATTTTTTCAATGAAAAAAAAATAGTCTAACAAAAAACCCAGTCAATTAATATTTATTTTTTAAGACATTAGATCTGTGCCAAACACGTGTCTTTTTTATAAATTATACAAAAATTTCGTGAAATTTGTATTTTGTTTGTTTAAAAGATATTTTTACTGTTATCCAATATATTAGAATGTTTTTGAAAAAAAAAATAATGTTTTGGTAATAAAATATTATTTTCAACGAAGAAAGTAGCGACAGCTGGCATTTGCTTCATTATGTACCTTGTCGCACCTGATTGCTCCCCACGTCTTGATGAGGGTACAATTGTAATTGTACTCAACGTGTGTGTAGCCTGATTGGTCAACGTTATTTACTTTATACCATTTGACTGTATCTGCGCTCTCCTTTATTACACAACGCGGGAAAGTCACCTAATTACACCTTACGATGCCGTTTTTCTGACCATGACAGCGTTTTCATGTTTCACTCCGTAGCTTTGAGATAGTCCAAGTTGAGTGATTTGAGATAACCGTGTCGGCATCTTGAAGGTCAAGTTGTCAATAATCTTCCCTCCGTTGCAATCTTCTCGTAATTACAAATTCCAAGTGATCGGTTGAATTCGATTGCTTGTCTTATTAGGTAAAACTCGCTCTGTTTCTCTTCGAATCTACGAGGAAATTGAATGGATTCTTCTATTTCTTTGTATTGAAACTTGTCATGGATTTGTGATTTTGGTCGATTTGTTCTTCAATTAGGTTAAAAAAGCCCTGATATGTTTCTTTATGGATTGAAAGGGTTTTGATCGATTTGGGGTTTAGGGATTGTTTGATTGCTTGTTTTCTTTGCTGCGTTTGAAGAGTTTCTAATTTTGATCTTCTTTTGCGTTCTGTATTATGCTGGTGAGCAGATAATTCGAGTTCTTCGTTGTCCCAGATGCGAGAATCTCTTGCTTGTACTGTTCGTAGAGGTATGAATCTGCTTTAATCCTTTTATTCTCTCTTGGTTAGCTGCTGAGAAATTAATTTTAGGAGTTTTTTCTGAGTCTAAGTGGGACTGTCCAAGCATGGAACCATCTGTAAAAGAGAGGGTCTTAAGGTCTAGAAGGACTGTCTTTAGCAGTAGTTCAATTAGAACAAATGATAGAGAGGATATAGATGATTATGAGAGGAGAATTGGGAAGGACACCAAGGGGGTTTGGTCTATGCAGAGTCTTGGTGATAAAGAAGTTGGTTTAGTTGAAGAAACACAACGTATCGAGAATTGGATTCGACGAAATAATATCGAACATGACATGGATATTTATGTTAATCCTATCGGAGCAGCGAGAACCCGAGCGACTTTTGAGCATCAAAGAGTTGAAAGAGATGCATTCACAGGGTATTCTGGAAATTCTATGGCTATTGCTGATAGAATAGGTGTTCCGAATTTCCATTATCCTAGTGACCGACCTTCGAGTTCTAATGTGGATCGGTTCTATGGTCATCCGGAGTCTAATCAGGACTATGAACGTCCTTTAGATGGTTTGGACCCGAATCGAGCTGAACTACTTAGAAGGTTGGATGAGTTGAAAGATCAAATTATTAAGTCTTGTGATGTGGGAGATAGACCAAAAGTTGTTGATAGAGCTGCAGTCGATCCATACTATGGTCGAGCTACTTATAATGTCCCGATGCAATCTTCGACAAGAAGCCCGCCGCACATCTATGAGCCTCATTACGTGGATCGGGGCAATGGAACCTTTCCAGCAATGGGTCAACATCAGAGAAATGGTGAGGATTTTTTGCATCCTCCAAGGCATGTTGTGAAAGATATACCATTGTATGAGGATCGGTTTCAGGAGCAAATGAAAAGAAAGACAAACTATCCTCCACGGCTTCCTCACGAACACTATCCAGAAAGCTTCATGGATTTGCGATCACCAAACTCTCCTATAAGCAATGCAAGCAATCCAAAAGAGGCAATCAAATCTAGCACGTATCGTAACGAGAATCCTGTTATAGTTGGACTCACGGCTTCCAATCAACAGCGTGCTGGTCGGTTTCCATCACAAGATGCACTTCCAGACTCGAGCCAACTTAGTGAGCTTGATTCAGAGATTGATGGTTTCGGTCCAGTTCGACCAAAAACATTTGCAGTTTCGCGAAGAAATGGAAAATCTCGTGATGCCATCGCTGGTGGTGCTCCATTCATTGTGTGCAATAGTTGCTTGGAATTGCTAAAACTTCCCAGAAAACTTTACAAGTTGGAGATGGATTGGCAGAAACTACAGTGTGGTGCTTGTTCGGTTGTCATTATCGTAAAAGTCGAAAACAGAAGGCTTGTCGTTAGCGTTCCAGCTGAAGCCAAGCCCAAAGAAGTTTCTCCTGACGATGGTTCCCCCAAAAGAGTTGTCAATGCTACCAGCTCTTTAGAAAGCTCTGATAATTCTAGTCACAAATCGATCGGTTCTGACCACAACAAGCCCTCGAACGACCGGGATTCAAATCTTGGTGAATCTAAAATGCAGGAGCTAACTTCATCTCTCGTTTCTTCCTCGGAAAAAGAGACCCTGCCTACAAAAGATTCACCATCTTTAACAAATTCTGATAACCCTTCTTATGATGAACCTAGCAAATACAGAGAAGAAAGTGAAAATAATCAGGATACTGTGATAAACGACGTCACCGGACCAAGTGAGTTGGACGTCTCGTTCGAAGATTATTCGAACATTCATATTTCTCAAGATTCTATGGAAATAAGCAAAGAAGAAGAAGAAGAAAATCAAAGCAAGATCAAAAGCAATGAAGAATCTGAAACCTTTTTTGTGGATCTCAGCAAGAACAACTTGAGAGATTTTTCAAGATCAAGTGAAATTACCGATAATGGAAGGCCTACTGTTTCTGTTAATGGCCAGCCTCTACCAGCTCATGTAGTCAAAAAGGCTGAAAAGCTTGCTGGGCCCATTCTCCCAGGAGATTATTGGTATGTTTCTTTCTCAGAAGTTAAGCTTAGCCGATTAATGATTTAAGATGAACAAAAGTTATCTTAATTGTGGTTACCAGGTATGATTATCATGCTGGATTCTGGGGTGTAATGGGACATCCATGTCTTGGCATTATTCCTGTGAGTTCAGTTGATTTCTAGTTTCTTTTCCTATGGTTTAATGGCTCGAAGTTGTCAAATATTAACAATGAACGAACGTTTTCTCTGCTCGTCACACAGCCATTTATCGACGAGTTCACGTATCCAATGTCGAGGAACTGTGCTGGTGGAAACACTGGAGTTTTTGTCAATGGGCGAGAGCTTCATAAAAGGGATTTAGAGTTGCTTTCTAGCAGAGGGTTGCCTACTACTACGAATAAATTATATCGAATCGACATTTCGGGAAGAGTCGTAGATGACGATTCTGGAAAAGAGTTATATAACCTGGGAAAACTCGCCCCGACGTAAGCTTACTGCTCATTCATGTCTCCTGCTTAAACTTTCATAAACTGAACTTATTTGACCTCGAACTCTCTTTGAAACAACAGCATTGCGAAGGTAAAGCATGGGTTTGGCATGAAAGTACCAAGAACACTCAAAGTGACAGGCACAAGCATTTAAGTTTTGGAAATCCTCCTTCAGATGCAGCAGCAGCTTCCGTTTCGTGTAAAAGAAGCCGATTGCCGATGCGTCAATCGACCCGACCCAACTCGACACTTGTACATTAAATCAATGGTACACACCTATACCTTGTGGAACTTGAAATTTTCTTTAGATTCTTTCTGAGTTGTGAGATTGTTTGTCGAGTATATAAATTTGAAGTTTGTGTTAGGAGGTGATTGCATTCAGAAATGGCTCAAAACTCAGAGAAAAAAAAAAAAAAAACATAAATGTTGGTGAGAATTTCTCATCCATGTACAAGGAGCAAGATTAATATTAATAACCATGAATTCATGTTCCTAAGATAGTTAGAATTTTGGTCTGTTCCTTATCCTGTCTTGTCTTATCTCGGATGTCTTGACTAGTTGATTTATATTAAAATTGGTAAAGATTGGTGTAACGTTGAGTTGTTATTTTATTATCGATAGAGATGTCCACGGAATAGGGATAGAGATTGGATTCTCTATGGGAGATTTTTTTTCATCTTTTTATATATTTTTATAATTTGAAAGAAATTTTTAATGAATAATTTTTATTTTCGATATAATTTCTATTTTTTAAAAATGTGTAAAATTACTACTATATTTCTAAAAATTAAAATTTTAATATTGCACCGTAGTATTCCGCATTTAAATATATAAATAAATAAATATATAATGATTTTGTACCTTATTGCAGATTATTTGTATACTTTGGTCAATAAGTGTCGATCCATCTTATT